GTCTAGTTGTATACTTCATATTGTCAAGTGACTTCCTGTTTGGCCGCAGTGACCACGTTTATCGGGAAAAATCTGAATGTCAATTCTTTTATTTCATAAATAACGATATCATATTATATATCAATAGAAAAATATGGATGAGTAGAATCGACATCCGAAGGAATTTCTCAAATCTGATATAATCGAGAAAAGTTATATCAAAATTTAAAAAAATTATTATCAGTTATGTACGTTTTTATTGTAAATAGCATAATAACTGAACATTATTTATATAAATTTCAATTNTTTATTGTAAATAGCATAATAACTGAACATTATTTATATAAATTTCAATTATGCTTACAATGATAATTAATTTTGCAAATTAAAAAATATATAATTTTTGGAATTTTACCAATTAACCTTGAACTTTGTCTTTTTTATATTTGATGTAATATTATAATTATATACTAATTTGATTATAATCAATTGTGTGCACTTAATTCATGTATTTCAAACATTTATTTTAAAACTTATGGCTGTTTGTCAATACAATCCGTTTCACTCGACAAAATTGGTTTACGATACAGCACGAGGGTTAAAGCTGTGCAATAACTCTCCAAAGTAGGCGTGTCGGTTCACAGTAAAAACATCTCTGCTTTTTAGTGACAAATCAAAAATAGGCTTCACTTCTGTTGTTGTAATGTATTGTTGTAATAATGTCTACAAAAAATGACCACAAATTGTATTAATACATATGGAATAAGAGTACAGTTTGTATGCATTTGTTGTTCAAATATTTTGATTAAACTTTTGCCGCTTTCTAACAATACAGTCGACTCTCGTTATTATTTCAACACTTTTTTACATTCCATTTATTAACGCTTTTATCGTTTGTTTTGATTTGAAAACAATATTTAAATATAATTTCAAACAAACGTTTCGTACAATCAGTTCATCACATCTGAAGAGATGTCACAAAACATGATATCAATGAAGACATCACTCGAGACCACAGATGACGGCAATGAAGACAACAAACAACAGGTATTTCACAAACAATTGACTGTTTATTGAGTTTTAATTGTTTTTATCACTCATTTTAGGCGCAAATCGATGCGAAGAAGTCTTTCAATCGTTTCGACGATGACTTGTGTGGACACATATTGTCTTATCTCTCAGTCGAAGACCGATTCCGTTACGAATGTGTGTCCAAACGATTCCAGAAGAAAGTCTTGGAGAGTGTTGTGAACATCGATATCAATGTCTTCAGCGGACTCTTTGAGCAATTATACGAAACAAACGCAACAATGACTCAGATTTGCAAACAATTGAAAACAATGGCCACAAAGTGTCCAAACATTGAAACTATTGATTGCCAGCAAAACAGCATATCTTTCGTATCGGTTCCCAAAGTGTTGACTATATTTCGTAATAATTGTCAACATTTACGCGACATTTACTATGAATTAGGTTCAGATGATTACCAATTGGTCCCACAATTTGCACCAATGATGACACGTATAGATGTTAAACTTCCAAAGGCTTGTCATTCACGGCTCGGTTCCAGATACCCGTCTTTTCGATTTATTAAATTTAGATTTTTGAACATATTTTTTTAATTATCGGCGCAAATGGCCACAAACAACCGTCTAGGAAACCCTTAACCTAACCTAACCTAACTTACCATAATATAACTAACTTAAATTAAAATAATATTTTATAAAATTATTTTTATAATGGTTTTCTATGGGAAGTTAATGTCGCGATATTTCTGAAAGTATTCGAGATAGAAAATTTTGGATTTGATAATCGTGTTCAGCGTTAAATTCTACATCGAATCCATATATCACATTCATAAATTTCGTAATTTTGATGGGGGTGGGGGTTAAAAAAGGAGGTCTGGGAGGGGTGTGCCCAGAGGGTTTTTTGGAGGGCTATATGTACTGATCATAAAAATATATATGTTGGTGGGCTAAATCGAAAAGACGGGAAACTGGAACCGAGCCGTCATTCACTCATTCGTTGCCATCGATTGTCTCATTTGCGAGTCTCCTCTTTGCCGGACGTCTTTCACACCACTTCTGGAGAACTATTGGCGAAGAATTTACACACATTTACATTCAATCACAGTTTGACTGCGAGTGGAGTACTCTTTGAGGCATTCATTGCCGGCAATCAGACCCTCAAAAGTCTGACAATATATCCATCGAGTGGTTATCCAAACAATATGAATGAAGTGACCGAACAGTTGTCACGATTACCACAATTGCGGGAATTGTCACTTCATTTACATCTAACCGATTGCCAGACATTGAATTCGTTAAGATTTTGTCCGCAATTAAAACGATTGACATTAGATCTCAACGAAGAAATCGATCAGAAAATGTTGGATCCATTGAAACACTGCCGACGTTTAACGCATTTGACTATACATTCAATCGGACCTAAAGTTGATACTAATTCGCTGTTTAATTGTGTCAATCATTGGCCACGACTTCAATACTTATCCATTGATGATTGCAATTACGAAAGAGGTGTCGAGTTTTTGGGTTACATCTCAAGACTCCCGGCGCTGCAAACGCTTGTAATCGAGGGTTTGAACGGTTTTCTCAGAGATAATGATTTCTCGGATCTGTTGGTCAGAAGTCCTAAACTAAAGAACATTACAATCCGTTTCTTTTTTCAATCTTTTTGCCGTAAAAGTAATTTTTTTAGTAATTTCATTATTTAATATTGCATTCAATTTCACTTCTTTTTGTCCTAAGATATGACCCAAGAGTTGACACATTTGAAGACATCATTCGAGACCAGAGATGACGGCAATGAAGACAACGCACACCAGGTTTTCGACAAACAATTAACTGTTTATTGAGTTTTAATTGTTTTTGTTTTACATTTTAGTCACAAATCTATGCGAAGAACTCTTTTGATCGTTTCGGTGATGACTTGTGTGGACTTCTGTTATCTTATTTTCCACTCAAAGATCGGTTTCAATACGAATGTGTGTCCAAACAGTTCCAGAGGAAAATCTTCGCGAGTGTTGTGGACATTGATATCGATTATAAATTCAGATTACATATGAGAAACACAACAATGACTCAAAAGATGTCCACAATTGCCATAAAGTGCCCAAACATTGAGACAATTGACTTTCGAAGATTACATTCTGCCGAACGTATTCCCCAATTGTTGGCCATATTTCGAGACAATAGTCCGCATTTGCGGGACGTTTACTGTGAATTGAGTGATGAGACTAACCAATGGATCCAAGACTTTGGACAATTGGTCACACGAATCAAAGGCTACTCTTCATCGATAAAACAGGCACTCATTCATTGCCACCGATTGTCTCATTTAAATACAAGCGAATTATCAAACGTTTTTGCCGACAATTCCGGACAACTGTTGGCAAACAATTTGATTAAATTTGGTTTCAGTTATGGTTCGGATGAAAGTGAAGAATCGGATGATAATGAAGAGGTGATTAACAATGAAGAACTGTTGTCCCGATTCCTGGCGGGGAATCAATCACTTAAAAGTGTTTCTGTCGATAATTACAATAACGAAATGCCAATAGATATCACAGAACTGGTCCACCAATTGTCACGATTACCACAATTACGGCAATTGACGCTCCGTTTAGACCTAATCGATGGCCAGACATTGGATCCGTTGACATCATTCCCGCGGTTAATGCGTTTACAAATATATTCCACTCAAACAATCGATGTGGAAGTGTTGGAACCGTTGAAACAATGCCAACGGTTGACACATTTAACACTTAATATATTGCAAATGAGTGACACATTTTGGGTTAATTGTGACAAACATTGGCCGCGACTTCAATGCCTATCCATTCGTGACAACAATTACAAGATTGAGGTTTTGGATCACATCTCAAGACTACCGGCTCTGCAGACACTGGCAATCAATGGCATCAGTGAATGTCTCAACGATAATGATTTCGATGACCTGTTGTCCAGAAGTCCTAAACTAAAGGCTATTAGAATCGGTGGATATCTAAGAACTTATTGTCGTTAAAGTGGTTTAAATGTAAATCCATTTCTAAAATAACATTAATTTTATGTTTTTTATTTCATATTTAAGGCAATAATTTAAATGCTGTCAAAATTATATATAAATGTTAAGCAAATGTAATACATATTTATGTTCACAAATAAAACAATTTTCGCAAATTAGAAATATTTCAATCAATTCCTTGAGACTTCACTTCAGTAATGAATTGTTGAAAGAATTTCTACAAAAAAATGCAAACAAATTGTATTAATAGATATGGAATATGAGTACAAACTGTTTGTATGCATTTGTTGTGAACTTATTTTGAATAAACTTTTGCCACTTTATAACAATACAGTCGACTCTCGTTATTATCTCAACTCTTATTGTTATTTACATTCAATTTATTAACGGTTTTATCGTTTGTTTTGAATTGAAAACACTATTTAAATATAATCTAAAACAAACGTTTCGTACAATCAGTTCATCACATCTGAAGAGATGTCACAAATCGTGAAATCATTGAAGACATCACTCGAGACCACACATGAAGACATTGAAGACAACATTCAACAGGTATTTGACAAACAATTGACTGTTTATTGAGTTTTCATTATTTTTGTTAAACATTTTAGACACAAATCTATGCAAAGAACTCTTTCAATCGTTTCGGTGATGAACTGTTTGGACACATATTGTCTTATCTCACATTCAAAGACCGATTCCAATACGAATGTGTGTCCAAACGCTTCCAGAGAAGGATCTTCGAGAGTGTGGTGTATATCGATATCTATGTCTTCAATGGATTCATTAGACACAACACAAACACAACAATCACTCAAACGTTGGCCACAATCGCCAGAAAGTGTCCAAACATTGAGATCATTGATTCCATACAATTGAGAGAATTTTATGGATCCGTTTACAACGTGTTGACAATATTTCATAATAGTTGTCAATATTTGCGTCAAATATACTCTCTGTTACGTTCAGATTATTACCAATTGATCCAACGATTCGGACCAATGATGACAAGAATACACGTTTACGATTCGTTGGCAAAGAATTCCCTCATTCAATGCCACCGATTGTCTCATTTGCGAGTCTATCACCACTTGCCGGATGTCTTCGACACCACTTCAGGGCAACTATTGGCCAACAATTTACACACATTTTCATTTAATCACAGTTTGACTGCGAGTGGAGTACTCTTTGAGGCATTCATTGCCGGCAATCAGACCCTCAAAAGTCTGACTATTTATCGGTCGAGTGATTGTCCAAACAATATGAATGAAGTGACCGAACAGTTGTCACGATTACCACAATTGCGTGAATTGACACTTCATTTACATCTAACCGATTGCCAGACATTGAATTCATTGCCGTTTTGTCCGCAATTAAAACGATTGAAATTAGATCTCAGCGAAGAAATCAACCCTCAAATGTTGGATCCGTTGAAACACTGCCGACGGTTAACACATTTGACTATACATTCAATCGGACCTAAATTTGACACCAATTCACTGTTTAATTGCGGTAATCATTGGCCACGACTTCAATACCTATCGCTTGAGGATTGGTTTTACGAGAGAGGCGTCGAGTTTTTGTCACACATCTCGAGACTACCGGCGCTGCAAACGCTTGTAATCCATGGTTTGAGTGTATGTCTGAGAGATAATGATGTCTATGATCTGTTGGTCAGAAGTCCTAAACTCAAGAACATATATATCCGTTACTTTTTTCGACCTTTTTGCCGTAAAAGTGATTTTTTAGTGATTTAATTATTTAACATTGCATTCAATTTCACTTCTTTTTGTTGTAAGATATGACCCAAGAGTTGACACATTTGAAGACATCACTCGATACCAGAGATGACGGCGAAGACAACGCACACCAGGTTTTCGACAAACAATTAACTGTTTATTGGGTTTTATTGTTTTTGTTTTACATTTTAGTCACAAATCTATGCGAAGAACTCATTTGATCGTTTCGGCGATGACTTGTGTGGACTTCTGTTGTCTTATTTTCCACTCAAAGATCGGTTTCTATACGAATGTGTATCAAAACAGTTCCAGAGGACAATCTTTGCGAGTGTTGTGGACATTAATATCGATTATTCATTCAGATTACATATGAGAGACACAACAATGACTCAAATGATGTCCACAATTGCTACGAAGTGTCCCAATATTGAGACCATTGATATTCGAAGATTACTTAGTGGCGAACGTATTCCCAAATTTTTGGCCATATTTCGAGACAATTGTCGGCATTTACGGGACGTTTACTGTGGACTGAGTTATGAGATCAACCAATGGATGCAAGACTTTGGACATCTGATCACACGAATCTGTGACGGCGACTCTTCATCGATAAAACAGGCACTCATTCATTGCCACCGATTGTCTCATTTAAATATAAGCCAATTATCAAACGTTTTTGCCGACAATTCCGGACAACTGTTGGCAAAAAATTTGATTAAATGTGATTTTAGTTATGGTTTGTATGAAACTGAAGAACTCGATGATAACGAAGAGGTGGTCAACAGTGAAGAACTGTTGTCCCGATTCCTGGCGGGGAATCAATCCCTTAAAAGTGTTTCCGTCAATAATTACAGTCACGATATGCCGATAGATATCACAGAACTGGTCCACCAATTGTCACGATTACCACAATTGCGGAAATTGACGCTTAATTTAGATCTAATCGGTGGCGAGTGTTTGGATTCGTTGCCATTATTCCCGCGGTTAATACGTTTACAAATAATTGATACCAAAAATGCAATCGATGCCAAACTATTGGAACCGTTGAAACTCTTGCACCGATTGACACATTTAACACTTAATATACTGAAAATGAATGACAAATTTTTGGTTAATTGTGGTAAACATTGGCCGCGACTTCACTACCTATCCATTCGTGACAACAATTACAAGATTGAGGTTTTGGATTACATCTCAAGACTACCGGTTCTGCAGACACTGGCAATCAATGGCATCACTAAATGTCTCAAAGATAATGATTTCGATGACCTGTTGTTCAGAAGTGGTAAACTAAAGACCATTAGAATCGGTGGACGGATGAGATGTTATTGTCGTAAACGTTAATTGAATTATAAAATGCCGTTTCATTTAGTCTTCAGTTAAAATTGTTATTTAACTTTAATATTCATATTATAATTGTTTAATTATTTTAAATTCATTTCAAGACCTAATTCCTGCCGTTATTTTGTATTAAATTTGATTTTTTTTTTTGATAAACCATTTCTGTATTTCTATTATATTTAATTTGTTTAAAAAATTATAATTAATAAAAGAAATTTAAAAATTAAAATTAACTACAATTAATATTTTTTTGACAATTTTTTGGCAACTTTTAACAAAACGTTACTTTATTTACATACGAAACCTAATGATAAAATTTTATGATTTTTTGCTTAATTAACTTTATAATTACTTTAAAATAATAATTTACTTAAACATCGCACATATTTCATCGCATAATTAACAGTAAAGCCATAAATATTTAAATCATTTTTACGACAATAAAACTTTGGATAAAAATATTTGCCACTGATTTCAATCGTCTTTAGTTTAGGACTTCTTGCGAACAGATCCTCGAAAAGACAATCTCTGAGACAATCAATCCCTTTGTCACGAATGACAAGCGTTTGCAGCGCCGGTAGTCTTGAGATGCGATTCAAATACTGGCCGTTAAAATATCGGCACTCAATGGACAGGTATTGAAGTCGTGGCCAAAGTTCGTGACAATTGTCTAACAAATTAAAGTCCATTTGCGGGCATTTGAACGACAAATGCGTTAATCTTCGGCCGGGAAGCGAGAGATCAAATGGTATGACGCCATCGATTAGAAGGGCATTGATATCGAAACCAATAATTAAATCTAATCGCTTTAACCGTCGAAACAATGTCAACGAATCCAATGTCTGGACATAAGAGTCGGTAAACGTTGAACACAATCGGAGTGACAATCGTTTCAATTGTTTACAATTGACGGCAATTGTGGCCAAAGACTTGTTTAATGAGTTGTGTTTCGGACAGACATTGAATTGTAGTCTCAATTCCCGTAATCCGGGAAAACCTGACAATTGATCCGCGAGTCGGCTGTAAGTGTCGGGAGAGTAGGACTTGATATCAGATATGATGACACATCTAAGGGACTGATTGTTGACCACTAATGTCGACAACATTTGGTTATTATCGGCGTTTAGATTGAATCTGAATTCAAAACTCAACAAATTCTTAGCCAGAAGTCCTTCGGAAGCGTTGCCGTCGTAATTGAGTGTTGAAGTGACCATTAAATGGGATAATTGGTGGTAACGATGAAGTGATTTGTTTGCCGAATAACATCCGAGTCGTGTGATTAGTGGCGCGAAAGTGTGGATCAAATCAGTTTTGTTTGACCAGAGATTGCAATAAATTTGTCGCAAATGTCGACAATTGTCTCGAAATATGGCCAACACTTCGGGAATGTGTTTATTACACAATATTGTTCGGCAGTCAATGATCTCAATGTTTGGACACTTCTTGGAAATTGTTTCCGTCGTTTGTGCGATTGTTTTGTCTGTATTTTGTATTTGTTTAAACATTTTCTCTTTTATTTCAATTTCCACAACACTCTCGAAGACAGTCCTCCGGAACTGTTTGGACACACATTCGCATCGAATCCTGTCTTCGAACGGGAAGTACGACAATAGAAGTGCACACAAGTCGTCACCGAATCTGTCCATTGAGTTCTTCGCGTAAATCATTGGCTAAAATGTTTAACCAAAACAATTAAAACTTAATAAACAGTCAATTGTTAGTCAAATACCTGTTTTCTTATGTATTGATAGCTATAATCAATGGTCAGAATTGATGTCTTCATTGATATCATGTTTTGTGACATATATTAAGCTGTGATGAACTGATTGTAAGAAACGTTTGATTCAAATCATATTAAAATTTGAATTTTTAAATTCAAATAAATGTAAAAACAATATATAAAACTTTTATAACAATTTTAAATTATGTTAAACTAAGTTATATAACGAGTATTGATTGTATTCATTGTTATAATTCAATTAGAAATAAAGAGAAATATAAATAAAAATTAAATACTTATAAAAATAATTGTTATCAAACATTAATTATAAACATTAAAGAATGTAATTAGTAATTAAACCCTAAATTATTATATATTTTACTTTAAACATACTGTATATTGTACATACAACTGTACATACAGTATGTTAGTATTATTACAGTATATTACTAATATATAATCTAGCCTATTATCTAATTTAATTGATTAGATAATATTTTTATAATCATAACCTGGGCAATGACAATATTTGTATAAAGTCAATCAAACAACTTATCTCATAATTTATGAGTCATAAATCACTTATTATTATGTATTGCAAACAATAGTAATAATACTGTGAAATATTTATAATAAACTAACATTTTATAAATTATAGATTAGTATAGTGTTTAGTGTTGTAATAAACTTTTAAACAATTACCACGATTAATGTGTTTACATTATATTTAAAAGCAATTAAAATTATTATATTTAAATCCATTAAAAAATTTATTATAAATAAAATTATATTATTTTATTAATACCTAAGTTATGGGACAACGGATGTCAAGTGTAAACACATTTCCAAATGATAGACAACAAGTATTTTAGAAATAATTTAATTGTCTATTAATTATTTTTGTTCAACATTTTAGTCGCAAATCCATCCGAAGAACTCTTTCGATCGATTCGGCGATGACTTGTGTGGACTCATAGTGTCTTTCTTTCCACTCGAAGACCGTTTCCGTTACGAATGTGTGTCCAAACAGTTCCGGAGGACTGTCTTCGAGAGTGTTGTGGACATCAATATTGAAGACACAAAAAGAAAAACTCAAAGAATTGATATTCAATTGTTGCTAAAAATATCCACAAAGTGTCCAAACATTCAAACTATTGATTGTCTCACAAAACGGGGAATCGTTGCAA